TGCTGAAACTCATTTGCCGTGATAATAGTAGACACCTTAAAAGACAAGAGAGGCTTGATAATTTAAGACTGATGTATAAATATTTGCAATTTAGATGTAATTTAGGCAGCTTTAATAACTCAAGTGTGTTCATATGCCAAGGGAGGAAAACTTTTTCATTTCTTTTTTATGTCAGGATGCTAAATCACGTGAGGACTTATAAAATGCCATGAGGTCTTCAGTTTCCAAACAAAGGAGGCTACAGTTTCAGAAGCGGAGGTTAATCATGTATTAAGTTCACAGGTGGAGTCATAAAGAATCAGGAGCTTGCAAAATACTTTTTTTAAATGCATGTGTTGAAATGTTAGTTATTCGATTGACTGTTCTTGGATATGCTACAATTTGAAAATGAAGTCAAGGAATTTTACATTTCGAAAGAACACACAATGACTTGACACAACGGTAATGTGGAGCCAATATTTAATACCTGAGAATAATTTGCTCCTCTAAGTGTTACCTAAAACGTCTCCTTAGGATAATGTAAACATTTGAAATAATATTTAAGGACTTTTAAAGGTTCTCCTGAATTGTTTCCTCCAATTAAAATTCTTTCTTTTTTATATAACTCATATTTTTAAATAATAAAAATAAACGTTGCTCATTAGGAAAAAGAAAGAAAAAGAAAAAACATCACTTTTACTACCCCAAAATTACCGCTATATTTATATATCTATATTTTTATGTTTTTTTGGATTATATGTAGAGAGACTATGTGTATGGTTATTTTTTTAATAAAAGTGAGATTAGTAACTTATTTTTCCCCACTTCATATATGTGAATCTATTTCCACTTCAATAAAGATACATCTACATAATTTAATGGTTATATGGCTATATTAATTAACAATCAACTTTCTTGTTATTGAAATAAATACTCTTTCCATATTATCCTAAACGAGAAAGATTAAACTTACTGGTGTATGATCACTCCATTGCCAGGATCCTTGTAAGTCAGGGCTCCTTTTATTCAAACCTATCCAAAGCCAACGCTGGTCACTATGTGAAAAGGAAGTGTTAAGAAAATTTGAGCACAGCATTTGGCAAAAACATTTAGCATCCACATGTCTAAAATGCTTAAGACATGTAAGTTTATTCAGAAGACCTTCTCACTAACTGAGAAACACAGTTTCAAGCTATATAAACAAGTCTCCGGAAATGAAACTGAACCCTATTTACAGGGTAGCTATCAAAAAAGTACCAGACTTTTTTTAACTAAATTTTATGTTATTTTCTTCATATGAAAGGCAAAAACTATTCTGCTTTGAAAAACTTAGGAGGGGAAAAAAAGTATATGATTATTTCAAAACTTTTACTGAAGAGCTTCAGTATTAGATAATGTTTTCAGATACAAAAACAACCATAGCATTTCCTTAAAGCATTTGTCTATAACTATCAAGTATCTTTTCTTTAAAATGAAGAACCTGGCTAACCTTTGGCTTGGGTGACCTTTTATTAAATGAGATTTTAAAAAAAATTTAATTCCCTCTGCCCACTAAGCTTAAAGTAAAACAAGCATTCAAGTATCAATATTTTCTAAATACCAAACTCCATGGGTTATACCAGAGCAATATAATTAAGCAATCACTTAAGTGAATATATTTAACCGTCATAACTATTACGCTTTTATGTACAAGGCATTGAGCTATGTGCAATGATGATACAGAGAAGTACAAGACATAATATCTACCCTCAAGTGGCATATAAACTAGTCAGGGAGACAAGATATATATGAACAAAGAAAATATGAGACCATTTTTGAAAAACATCAAATGATAAAAATTTGCATACATTTTAAGCACTACAAAAATTTCGGAAAAAGGAGAGGTCACTGTGGACTGTAGGAAGTCAGGATACATTTTGTAGAGTTAGTAGGACAAAAGACAGTCTTTGAAGAATTGCCAACACTTCTTTTGAGCCATAATCTGAGTGTTTACCACGTGCCAGTATTCAGGTTGGTTGAGCAGGGAAAGGATAGGCATTCCAAGGAAGAATACATACAACAACATATAGAGGCAGGGACATACATTGTAAGTGATCCCTTCCCCTCAATTAAACTTATACTCTAACCAGGGAGATATTTTCAATAAATTGAAGCGATATAACCATAAGAAATTTCTCCACCTCTAACTTCATTTGAAAATACTTTCTAAAATATAGTATACTTCTTAGGCCTTAAAAAGTAGACCATTTACCACGCAGTTTTTTTTTGGCGGGGGTGGTGGGTTGGTGATGCTGGTTATTTCCATATAATTTAACCTTCTGATTGTATATGTCATGTACCACCAGTACATGAGTGAAAGTTTTATATGCAAAACAATGCATACATAAATGCTAAGCATAAATAGAACATATATTAGAAAAGGGGTAGAATCCAAATCTAAAGTTAATCCCTACTCTCAAGCTCAGTAGAATATATGGAACACATGGAATGTACAGTTACAAGACTGCTGGGAAATAGAGTAAGTCTGCATTTAAAAATATTTGCCAGTGAATCCAAGGCAGGAACAAACTTAATTTTAAATTAATTTCTCACTTTTTAATGAAATAATTGCTTTTCTTCATCTCTTTCCTCTGTTCAACATTCCCTCATATTTTAACATCAATAAGCATGTTTTTCACCTTACCAACCTCAAGCTTTTCAACTTACTGCAATGGAATATGAGGGCAGTCCCCTTTCAGTTTTTATTGTTTTACTGTTTTCTTTCAGAAAGAAAGATAAAGTTAAGATAAATCCAGTGGAGACAATTAAGTCTAGTTTGAATTTAGCAGCTAAAAAAGGATTTTGCAGCTTGTGTCTTCACCTAATCAGAGCTTTCCTACAGACTTCCAAATGTATCATACTTTCCGATTGCTGGATTTCTAAACCACCAGGTCTAGATAATTGCCATATACATTATAATTAAAGTCAGACAGCTAAAATAAAGAGGAGGTCAAGTTTGCTTCCTCAAACTTCATTTCTTTCTAATTTTTGTAGATTATGTTTTTGGGCCTGGAGAATTTGTGCGGAATTTTGTGTTTCCCTAAAGTAAGCATTAGATATTTTATCTTCTTTGTACAATCAACAGTACGACTGGAAGATGATCAAAGATGGTTTGCCATCTGCATTTACTCTATAGGCAGCTCCCACAGAAAGCTTCTTTAGGGATCTGTCCCCACCATCTCCACTCAGTCTGCTCTTAGCTCCCCATCTTCCCTTAGAAACCTCTGCTTTCAAGCCCATTTCTGCCTCCTCTGCTGCATCTCAGAGAACAGTTTCCTAGAGAGAGGTTTGTCCCGTTGTCCAAAGCTTCTCATCTTCACTACTTTCTGAGACTGAACTTCATTGCAACCCAGACCTTTATAGTTTTCAGCTTCCATTTCAAGAGATTTATTAGTCGGTTATAAATACAGTAAATAGTAGCTACTTGTGGGGGGTTTTTTTTGTGTGTGGTAAGAGGTGGAAAATATTTCCTCATTTGTAACTTCTTCCTGGTTTGGCCTGATTTGTCTGTAGGTAAGTAAAGAGAAGAAATTGGAAATCACATTAATTGTTGCACACCTCTAATGTGGGTTTTCAAAAATTCGAGGGAAGAAAAAAAAATTGTGGGAAGAAATGGATCATAATTGAGGGATTAAATCAAACTGAAAATTTCTCTCTGTATATAAATTTCTTCTGCTCCAAACACTAAGTATATGGTTTTAAGGCTATGAGGTTAAGAAGACATTGCATGAAAGGTTACTTTGTGTATTTGCATTAAAATTTCTACTCTCAATCAAATTTCCTGCTGCATCTGGTTCCTAAGGAAAACAGCACCTCAACCATAACCCCCAATAAACACTATTTGATGAGGGTGCTTAGCCTGCAAAGCCTTAGATTTATATCCAAATCCACTCATGCCACATCACTGGAGGTAGTGCACACAGCAGCAATCGCACTGCAAACAAGGTTTTCTTCCCTAATCCTAAAACTACTTTTGTTCTACAGTGGCTTTCCCTGGTGGGCTGCTGTTAAGAGTTGCAAAGATTTTAGAGCCCTAATTATCTGGTGCACCATGAACCCTTTTATTGAAATACAGAGACATGGAACTTAGATTGTGAGAAGTAGAGCAGTAATCTGACCTTATTCCTTGGCAAGCAAAACACAATTTGGGCAATGGATGTCTTGCTGAGAAAGGTCAATCCCTGCAATAAAAAGCTAAGGTGTTCAAGGAATAAGCTTTAGAATCATTTTCTGATATAAATGGGCTGGCTTCCTTTCTTCCCTTCATGCCATGGTTATAATATTGAATAAGTTTTAGAATATGTTGTCTAAATATAGCATGGGCAAATGATCTCTCTATTAATGGAGCACGTATTAAGCAGACGTTACAGTCTGCTTAATACATGGTACTATATTAGCTGCTAGGATGAGTACAAATAAAATATAGTCCCTATGAGTGAAATGATTATGGTGATGTGTTTTTCCTTTGTGCTTTTCTGTTTTCTAAATTCAATATACATTTTCCTCTGTGATCAGAAAAAAACCTGAACATTGTATATTCTATAGAAAATAAACTATATGATAGGAATAGAGGAAAATGGAAAAGATTTACACAAAATGTTAACTATGTTTATAACTAGGAGCTAGGATTTGAGGTGATTTTAATTTTCATTATAATTTTTTTACATTCCCCAATTTTACATAATGAACCTGTATTAATTTTTAATTGAGGGGGAGAACTCATCAAGTGTGATTAGAAATTAAAAAATCAAGAAAGAAAAAAAAATCAATTACCTCTCAGACTTTTGTTTTCTAGTGTAATTTGTTCTGTATATAGAAGCTCTTAATGATCATTTATATCATATATGATATTCCATTTTTCATCAACTGATTCCCACAAATACAGTTGCCCCTTGGTATCCACAGGGGATTGGTTCCAGGACCTCCCTCATACCAAAATCTAAAGATGCTCAAGTCCCTTATATAAAATGATGTAGTATTTGCATGTAACCTAAACATGTCCTCCTGTATATGTTATTTTTAGATTACTTATTATACCTAAAACAGTGTAAATACTATGTAAATAGTTGCCAATATGAGGCAAATTCAAGTTTTGCTTTTTGGAACTTTCCAGAATTTTTTTCAAATATTTTCGATCTGAAGTTGATTGAATCTGCGGATGTGAAATGTGTGGATATGGAGGGCTGACTGTATCCACAACCTCATTGCTTAGTACTTATGGCTCCCTGAACCACTTAAAGGTTCCTTACCTCTTGCTGGGTTAGGAACTTGATTCAAAACCCAGTTTGTTTATGTCAGTATTTTCCTTAAAAATACTTTAGCTTAGATAGTACGATATTGTGTGTGTCAAGCTTGAGATCTAGGGGCTAGCAAGCTGCCCGGCTGAAATTCTCTTCAGGGAGGGTCAGCAGGGTATTAGAAAGGTTATGTTCCAGAGGCAGCCACCGTAAGGGAGTCTGCAGTCCAAAAGCCGTACCTGAGACTTTGGTTGTTAGCAGAGTAAATGTCAGAAATAGGTTAATATCAGCAAACTTAGAAGCTTGTTAGTTAGCATGATCTTAGAAATGGGCACTCACTGGTAAAATTGAAGATATGAGGAATAGCTAAAAATACTTAGGGACACTCTCACTCTTCATGAAAGGGTATTAGAATCTGGTGAGGCTGGTATCCTGTACCACTGGAAATGGATCTGCATCCTGATCCCTCTTTTTTTAAAAAAATTATTTATTTTAATTAATTTATTTTTGGCTGCGTTGGGTCTTTGTTGCTGCACGCGGGCTTTCTCTAGTTGCGGCGAGCAGGGGTTACTCTTCGTGGCAGTACGCAAGCTTCTTACTGCGGTGGCTTCTCTTGTTGTGGAGCACGGGCTCTAGAGCGCAGGCTCAGTAGTTATAGCGCATGGGCTTAGTTGCTCCGCGGCATGTGGGATCTTCCTTCACCAGGGCTCAAGCCCATTTCCCATGTATTGGCAGGCGGATTCTTAACCACTGCGCAACCAGGGAAGCCCTGGGGCCTGATCTTTTAATGGTCCCATGTTCAGTCATTGGGTCAGATGACTGGGACTGCCTGATGCCAACTACAGTGGGAACAGAAGAATCCTGTTTCTGGAACATTGTACATTTACCTCAAATGAGCCTTCCATGCAAGATGGTCCCTGGAACCTAAAAGGACAGACTACCGGACTGTTGTAAGCTTACAACACAGGTTATATAACATGTTTTTTGCCTGCTTCAATGACTGTTTAATAAATGTATGTCTGGAAAGATTCGGTCTGAATATTGCATTCATTATACTCTACTCTCAAGGCTGTGGGCAGTAGCTAAGAAACACTCACCTCAAAAGAAACTTAAGAGTTTGTATATTCAAATTAGCTTAGTGTGCAATGAAATTTTATATATTAATTTCTAATGCTAGAAAATGAAGTCTAAAATACTAGAAATTATACAACAGATGCTTAATAAATGATTATTTATGGAACACATGTATTGTATTTTTCATCAGATTCCAAGCACACTGTAGTGAGACTTTACTTGCTTTAATGAAGAAAATACAATCGTTAGCATATTAATGCAAATCTGGAAAATGTGGAAAAATGTTCAAACATTTAAACACGCATTCAAAATCTTACCTTCCAAAGGTAACAACGATGATCTTTTCTGACGTATTTTTGCAGTCTACTTTTTGATGTAAATAGTATATTTTCTACTCTTTTATAATTTGCCTTTCTTCCCACTTAATACATTATAAATACTTGCATGTTCTTTTTTTTAAATCTTAATGAACAGGGGATAAATTCCTAACAAAGATCAACAAAAGTGATGATACTAGGCATCTTTACCTTTTTTCTCACTTTCATGGAAATGCTTTAATGTTTAATCATTAAGTGTCATATGGCTATTGGTTGAACTACACTTCTATTTTAAATTTAATAAGAAATTATGTGTTAATTATATTAATTAAATATGTTAAGTATATATTTATATATAAAACCAGCAATAAATAATGAATTTTACCCGATGCATTTTCAGCACCTATTAAGATGATCACGTATTTGACTAGATATATAGAGTTCCTAATACTGACCCAACCTTGTACTCTTGGAAGAAATCCTACACGATCAAGGCATGTTATTTTGAGGTACTATAACACAGTCAGTTAAGAAAGTGGGCTCTAATGGGTTCATATATTGGATCCTTTATTTACTAACTATATAACCTTGGGCAAGTTGTTTTACTTCTCTGTGTCTCCATCTCCCCATTTAGATAAAATGGGCATAGTAACCTACCTCATAGGCCGTTGTAAGGATTAGTTAGTAGAAGATACTTAGGACATTATCTGCCACACAATAAGCAGTATATCTGTGTTTGTTATTGTATCCCTTGTAAGTATTTACTTTTTCAAGTCTAGATATGAGGTTGGTCTATAATTCTTTGTGCTATCTTTGACAGGTTGTGATATCAGAATTAGACTATTTGTGAAATAAACTGAATGCCTGCACCAGTTTCTATGTAATGGAATGCAATCTCTTGCTTGTACTACTGAAATACGTGGTAATGATCTCTTTTTTAAAATATGAAGGAGTTCACATATAGAACCATATATGTAGTTCCTATCTTTTTCTTGGGAGAAATTCTTTGTTAACTTTTTCCATTTTTTCCATGGCTATTGGAATACTGGGTTTCCACTTATTAAATCAATTATATACTAATTTATATTTCCCTAGATATTGTTCACTTTAATAATTTCATTATAATAACACAGAATTATGCATAGGATTCTTACCAATTAAAAAAAATTCTCCACTGAAAGGATTTTACAATCTCTTACTTAGGTTTCATTTTAAGTATCTGTTTTCTTTTTTGTTTTTATGATTTAGTCATCAGTAGATTTTTCCCTCTGTTTTGTAGTTTTATTTCTGGAGATAAAACCCTAGGATTTGTCAGTTCTACTGCTTTTCTAGTTTCTAATTCATTCATTTCACTTTTATCTTTATTAGGTTCTTTCTTATGGTTTCCTTTTATTTATGTTGATAAATATTTTAACTTTTAGGTGAATGCTTATTTTCATTATTTTTGTTTAATAATTAAAGCCCTTAAAGCTATTAATGTACCTCCAGCTATAGCTTTGGTTATATCTCATGAATTTCAGAATGTTTTTATTATCATCTATACAGTTTTGATTTACTTGCCAAAAGAGTTCTTAAAAACACTGAATGTTTATTTTGTAAATAAGAGTCACAGATGTAGAAAATAAACTTAGGGTTACGGGGGGGAAAGGGTGGGGGAAGGAATAAATTGGGAACTGGGATTGATACATACACACTACTTTATATAAAATGGAGAACTAATAAGGATGTACTGTATAACACAGGGAACTCTACTCAATACTCTGTAATGGCCTATTTGGGAAAAGAATCTAAAAAAGAGTGGATATATGTATATGTATAACTGATTCACTTCGTTGTACACCTGAAACTAACACAACATTGTAAATCAACTATACTCCAATAAAATTTCTTTAAAAACACTGAATTTTTAGGTGAAGGGGATTTGATTTCACTTCTAATGTAACTTGTATAATTTTATCCCTTTGAAATGTTAGTTTTTCTTTTTTCTTTTAGCCTAATAGATCCATTATTTTAAGTGATCCAGGCAAAGAGCTTGAAGAGGAAGTATATACAGACTTTTTAATCTATAAATAAAGAGGATATTATTAAATCAACCTTAATTATACTATTCATATGTTCTATGTTATTTCTATTTTGCCTGTCTCGTTCGTCGATAAATGAGATGAGCATTAGAGCCTCTCATTACTATTTTTTATTGAAAAATTTTAGCAATATAATTAACATTTTTGCTTTATACATTTTGATATCTTTTAACTGTGTAAAGGTTCTTGACTATTATAACTTCACTGTAGATTGTACCTTTAATCAATAATAAGATCTCATTTTCCCATTTAATGTCTTTTTACTTCAATTGTATTTTATCTAATATTAATACTACAACTCTAGCTTTTTCATTCACATTTACACAATATAATTTTGTCCATTATTTTAATTTTCCCATTCTAAGTTTTGCATTAAGTTTGTGATTATTAACTCAATGCTACTTGGGTGAATAAGGCCCATACAGCAAATTATAAAGAAATAAAATAACATAAGTGAAGTGGCCAAGGAGTAATAAATTGTAGACCACAACAAATTGGAGAGTGATGCCACATTTTGGTGGGCCATTGGCTAATCAGCACTAATTATTGCTGCAATATGAAAATGTTGCCAAGCTCAGCGGCCATGGCTCACGGGCCCAGCCGCTCTGTGGCATGTGGGATCTTCCCGGACCGGGGCACGAACCCATGTCCCCTGCATCGGCAGGTAGACTCTCAACCACTGCGCCACCAGGGAAACCCCAAGTTCTGGTCTTCTTTTCGATTCAAAAAGTGAGGGGAGGGACCTCCCTCGTGGTCCAGTGGCTAAGAATCCGCCTTCCAATTCAGGGGACGCAGGTTTGATCCCTGGTCTGGGAAGTAAGATCCCACATGCCGCGGGGCAACCAAGCCATTGCGCCGCAAATACTGAGCCCCCACATTCTGGAGCCCGCACGCCACAACTACAGAGCCTGTGCGCCGCAACTACTGAGCCCACGCTCTCTGGAGCCCGTGCACCACAACTAGAGAGAAGCCTGTGCACTGCAACGAAGAGCCCATGTGCTGCAATAAAACATCCCGCATGCTGCAACTAAGACCCGACACAGCCAAAAATAAATAAATAAATAAATTTAAAAGTTCATTCTCTTAAAAAAGAAAAAAAAAAGTGAGGGGAAAAATAAATTGTGAAGTAGAAGCCCCTCATACCTATGATTGTCCCCAAAGCTTCAGAAAAAATTCCCTCTATGGCAGCAACACCTTGCCCATATTTCTCCACATTATCTTTAAGGACATCAAGAAAACTGTTCAGGAATCCTCCTTCTACATAGCATCAAAATCACAGTGGCTTATTGACTCCATCTTTGTTACATCTCTGATCACTTCCTTACTGTCCCATCTTACTGCCCTTCTTCAATGTAGTTTTCTACCAGCTGGGCTGTAATAGCCTTATAATGAATTGTTCTGCATCTACCTACCACGTCTGTCTGTCTGTCTGTTTCTCTCTCTCTCTCTCTCTCTCTACACACACACACACACACACACACACACACACACACACACACTTTGTTTTTGTTTGTTTGTTTTTTGCCTATTGACTTATTAAACTCCTTCCCTGGCAAGAAAGGGTGTTCTAATCTTATACCCAAATTCCATTTTCTAGCTAAGTTCTATGGTTCATTTCTCTTTCACCATAGCTGTATATTCTAGTCTCAGTTCCTTTGCTTATGTTCTGCTTTCCCTGGCTTTTTCTCCCATCTTAACTTTCAAATATTACCTTAATTCCTGAGAACCATCCTTATTCATAACATTTTCCCCAATTATACCTCCCAGAAACACTTCCTCCCTCCTCTAAATTCCCATGGCCTCTCCTTATTCATGTTCTAGATTTTTCCACCATACTTTTCTTATCCCCACTGCTGGGCATTATTACACTACACAAAGGGTGGGGACTCTGTCTCCTTCATCTCTGAATCCCTCATAGCGTCTTGCACATAAAAATGTTTGATGTTGAATGACTGTTAAAGTATTGAATAACCCTTTTAGATAATAAAACATGTCAATTCTGAATACCTAGAGGACATCAAATTTAACAGAGAAGATCTCATTCTAAAAGTATTACCTGAACTGGTCCATTAGAAAGTGAAGAAATTTCTTTATTTCATCCATATGACTGAAGCTAGGAAGGTGCCCTCCAAGTGCTTGGCAGAATCTCTCAGCTTCTTCCCAGTTCCTCTTTCTTACAATTCTTTCTATATGAAATAGCTTAACAAAATATAATGTTAATTTGTTTCCTGGTATAATCATAAAGTATTCATAAGTTCAAAGTCAATTACAGTCAAATGTGTGGGCCCCTGAAATGGACTCTTAGAAGTATAATAAAGTCATAGGTAAAGGCCCATATTACTGTGACACAGACAGGTCCTGC